GTGTTTAATTAATGAGGATTTCATTAGTGGTTTGATCTGTGCATTGGGGAATTCTATATCAAAACAATATCCCCCAGAATGCATCTTTCCAGTAATTGTACATTAGGGATTTATTTACAATAAAAGGCTTATTAATGACTTAAGGGAGACGTAGTAAATGCTATAAAATACCGCTCCATCACTTGGAGAATTGGAAGATAATTTTGATAGGTGGAAGAAATGTACAGGAAAGTGATATTTTAGTTGAAACAGGGTGAGTGAAAATCATGCATTTTTAGTCTAACGGTAGTTATGTGTATAAAAAATCTTAATATTTGGTTTGAGCTGGAATGACTTGCTTTCACCGAAGGTAAGAGCTGAATGTGCTGGGATGGTTTCCTTCATGGTTAATGGATGTAAGTAGCAATTGCATTATTACATACGTTCTGCGAATCCTATTGTACAGCACTGCGTTGTATGTTGGTGTTTATCGGTAACAATCGTGGCACAATCTAACAACAGATCTAAAAATGCTGCCTACTGTGCCAATGAGCTTGCAGTCTATGCAATCGATGCTCAGACATGCATATATTTGGGTCATGATCATGTTCTTACTTTACTTGCCTTCACTAATATTTTTACATTTTGAAACTCCCTATATTATATAATAACACACTGATATAAAAATCAATTATTATAACACAATGAAAAGGAAACTTTGTGCATATCTATCAATGAAAATATGTGTACAAACACCCCTGTTTCTTTTGGTTGAAGTGCAATATCTAGAGTTAACCAGAGAAAATACAGTTGTGCTCAAATGTTTGCATACCCTGGCAGAAATTGTGAAATTTTGGCATTGATTTTTAAAATATGACTGCTCATGCCAAAAAAAAATATTTTATTGAAGGATAGTGATAATATGAAGTCATTTATTATCACATAGTTGTTTGGCTCCTTTTGACATCTTAATGATAACAGAAATCACCCAAATGGCCCTGATCAAAAGTTTACATACCCTTGAATGTTTGGCCTTGTTACAGACACACAAGGTGACACACAGGTTAAAATGGCAATTAAAGGTTAATTTCGCACACCTGTGGTTTTTTAAATTGCAATTAGTTTGTGTATAAATAGTCAATGAGTTGGTTAGCTCTCACTGAGCAGTCAATGAGTTGGTTAGCTCTCACTGATCAGGCTAGATACTGAGCCATGGGGAGCAGAAAAGAACTGTCAAGAAACCTGCGTAACAAGGTAATGGAACTTTATAAAGGTGGAAAAGGATATGACAAGATATCAAAAAGCCTTGAAAATGTCAGTTAGTCTGTTGAATCACTTATTAAGAAGTGGAAAATTCGGGGATCTCTTGATACCAAGCCAAGGTCAGGTAGACCAAGAAAGGTTTCAGCCACAACTGTCAGAAGAATTGTTCAGGATACAAAGAAAACCCCACAGGTAACCTCATGAGAAATACAGGCTGCTCTGGTTGTTTGTGTGGTTGTTTCAGGAGCACAATACGACGATACTTGAACCAAAATGAGCTGCATGGTCGTATTGCCAGAAAGAAGCATTTACTGTGCCAATTCCACAAAAAAGCCTGGTTACAATATGCCCAAAAGCACCCTGACACCCCTTACAGCTTCTGGCACACTGTAATTTGGAGTGACGAGAACATAATAGAGCTTCATGGTCACAACCATAAGTGCTATGTTTAGAGAGGGGTCAACAAGGCCTATAGTAAAAAGAAGACCATCCCCGCTGTGAAGCATGCTGGTGGCTCACTAATGTTTTGGGGGGGGGGGAGCTCTAAAGGCACGGGGAATCTTATGAATATTGATGGCAAGATGAATGCAGTTATCAGATAATACTGGCAGACAATTTGCATTCTTCTGCACGAAGGCTGCGCATGGAACACTCTTGGACTTTTCAGCGTGACAATGGCACTAAGCACAAGGCCAAGTTGACCCTCCAGTGGTTACAGCAGGAAAATGTGAAGGTTCTGGAGTGACCATCACATTCTCTGACCTTAATATCATCAAGTCACTCTGGAGAGATTTCAAACATGTGGTTCATGCAAGACAGCCAAAGACTTTGCATGACCTGGAGGCCTTTTGCCAAGACGAATGGACAGCTATACCACCTGCAATAATTAGGGGCTTCATAGACAACTATTACAAAAGACTGCATATAGGGGGCAATACACAGTATTAAGAACTAAGGGTATGCAGACAATTGAACAGGGGTCATTTCATTTATTTTTCTTTGTTGCCATGTGTTTTATGATTGTGCCATTCTGTTATAACGTACAGTTGAATATGAATCCCATAAGAAATAAAAGGAATGTGTTTTGCCTGCTCACTCATGTTTTCTTTAAAAATGGTCCATATATTACCAATTCTCCAAGGGTATGCAAACTTATGAGCACAACTGTATATAGAGAGATAGAGAGATAGAATGATAAATGAATTGATTATATCACGGGTTCCCAACCCAGTCCTCAAGTACCCCCTACCAGTCCAGGATTTAGGGATTACCCTGTTGTGTCTAAAGTGTTTTTTTTTACACCTTTAAAAAAAAGCCAAATCCTGGACTGTTAGAGGGCACTGGGTTATGAACCCCTGATAGATTCATAATTATGGAGTTCCTCAATGCAATGATCCTTATGTATTGCAAGTGTCATCAGCTTTAAATAGAGAGCTCTGTATCTTTTGTGATATTCTATTACTGCCACATTAACATTACCAAGTGCAATAATTGGGTGAATACTAAATATTTGAAAATCACAGTGAGAAGCGCCTCTAGCGGCTGTCAATGAGACAGCCATTAGAGGCTGGATTAACCCTAAAGTAAACAAAGCAGTTTCTCTGAAACTGCTATGTTTACAGCAAAAAAAGGTTAAACCTAGCTGGACCTGGCACCCAGACCACTTCATTAAAGGGACTCTCCAGCCAACCAGTTTTTACTCACCTGGTTCCAGCGCCGGGAGACTCGTGAAGCTGACGAAATAGGCGGGCACGAGCAGGGAGCAATCAGACGCTTCCATTTGGAAGCGTCATTGCTCCCTTGTGCGCATGCACGGCTTCGCCGCACATGCGCACATACTTCAGAGGGCGGAATTCATGCCGTCCTCTGAAGTCCTGAACGCACTACCGCGCATGCGCACGGTGTGCGCGGCCGCGAGCTGAGATGACTGACAGCTCAGCTCGCGGTCTTTGCCTGCCCCCTCTCCTCTGCTGACAGGCAGAAGAGAGAAGGCGCGCACACAGTGCCTTCTCTCTCCTGCACACGTCAGACGTATTTTAATATGTCTGATGTGTACAAGGCCTTTTTAGGGCCCTACATGATAGGAAGTCCCTCTGGTGGCCGTCTGAGTGACGGCCACTGGAGGTATTCCTATCAATCAATGTAAACACTGTACATTTTCTCTGAAAATACAGTGTTTACATAAAATTGCCTGCAGGGAGCTATAGATCATACCTGAACAACTACATTAAGCTGACTATAGTGTCCCTTTAAGCTGAAGTGGTCTGGGTGCCTATAATGATTTATCTCCAAAATTCCCAAAGATTTTATTGTTGGCGTCTGTAGATAAATCATTAGAAAAGTTGTTTTTTGTTTCTTTTTTAACAGATTTGATCATGTCAAAAGATTATCCAAAAATATTAAATATTAAATCGAAGCCCGTGGTAAGAAATCAGTGTAGAAAAAAATAATAGCGATACTACAATATAGATCTGGTAAAACTAAAAACAAAATGATAGAATATATTGCTGATGTGGATATGTAAGAAATATGCAGCCATGTTTGGGAAGTGTATAAACTTTCTTAGCATTAAAATGGAAAACAAAACTATTCTTGGGTTTTTCCTGTCTTTCTCTCTATCCAGCCTTGATAGCCCTCGTTCTGTCTTTCTCTATCCAGCCTTCATAGCCCTCGTTCTGTCTTTCTCTATCCAGCCTTCATAGCCTCATTCTCATGTCTTTCTCTATCCAGCCTTCATAGTCCTTGTTCTGTCTTTCTCTATCCAGCCTTCATAGCCCTCGTTCTGTCTTTCTCTATCCAGCCTTCATAGTCCTCGTTCTGTCTTTCTCTATCCAGCCTTCACAGTCCTCGTTCTGTCTTTCTCTATCCAGCCTTCATAGCCCTTGTTCTGTCTTTCTCTATCCAGCGTTCATAGTCCTCATTCTGTCTTTCTCTATCCAGCCTTCATAGTCCTCGTTCTGTCTTTCTCTATCCAGCCTTCATAGCCTCATTCTCATGTCTTTCTCTATCCAGCCTTCATGGCCCTCATTCTGTCTTTCTCTATCAAGCCTTCATAGTCCTTGTTCTGTCTTTCTCTATCCAGCATTCATAGTCCTCGTTCTGTCTTTCTCTATCCAGCCCATTGTCCTCGTTCTGTCTTTCTCTATCCATTAGTCCTCGTTCTGTCTTTCTCTATCCAGCCTTTATAGTCCTCGTTCTGTCTTTCTCTATCCAGCCTTCATAGTCCTCGTTCTGTCTTTCTCTATCCAGCCTTCATAGTCCTCGTTCTTTCTTTCTCTATCCCGCCTTCATAGTCCTTGTTCTGTCTTTCTCTATCTAGCCTTCATAGTCCTCGTTCTGTCTTTTTCTATCCAGCCTTCATAGTCCTTGTTCTGTCTTTCTCTATCAAGCCTTCATAGCGCTCGTTTTGTCTTTCTCTATCCAGCCTTCATAGCTCTTGTTCTGTCTTTCTCTAGCAAGCCTTCATAGTCCTCATTCGGTCTTTCTCTAGCAAGCCTTCCTAGTCCTTGTTCTCCTATCTTTCTCTATCCAGTCTTCATAGCCTAATTCTCGTGTCTTTCTCTATCCAGCCTTCGTGGCCCTTGTTCTACTGCTTTTCTCTGTAGCCAGTCTTACAAGCCCTTATTCTCCTGTCTTTCTCTAGCCAGCCTTTGTTGCCCTTGTTCTCCTGTCTTTCGCTAGCATTCCTTCGTAGCCATTGTTCTACTGCTTTTCTCTGTAGTCAGCCTTACTAGCCCCCGGTTTCCTGTCTTTCTCTAGGCATTCTTGGTAGTCCTTGTTCTCCTGCCTTTCCCTATCCATATAGCCTTCCATTTTGTTGTCCTGATATCTAAACATTATGATCATGAAGAATGAAACAGTCAATGAATTTTTGCTCATTGGATTTGGAGACCTTCACAACTTCCAGTATATCTTTTTCTGCCTGTGTTTCATAGTCTATATCTCATCATTGTCTGGAAACATCCTGATCATCATCTTTGTAGCCACGAGTCACCTTTCAGAGATCCCAATGTACTTTTTCCTTTGCCATCTTTCAGTATCGGACATGCTGCTAACAACCAACATCGTCCCAAATTTACTGCAGATAATATTACAGGGGAAGAAAGTCATGCCTTTTGGGGAGTGCCTAATCCAATTCCAGTTTTTTGCGGGTTCTACTGGGACTGAGTGTCTCCTGCTTACAGTGATGTCATACGATCGATACCTGGCTATTTGTGACCCTCTCTACTATATCCCAATCATGGGAGCAAGACTTAAATATCATTTAGTCACATGGTGCTGGTTTCTGGGATTCTCCATAACCTTAGCAATCGTTCTCCAAATAGCTGGTTTACATTTCTGTGGTCCTAACAGTATTAACCACTTTTTCTGTGATTTTGCACCCATTCTTAATCTTTCGTGTTCGGACACACAGACATTACAAATTATAGACTATGTGTTGACTGCACCTGTAACCATTTTCCCATTTGTTTTCATTATTGGTAGCTACGTAAATATTTCGATAGCAATTATGAAGATTCCCACAAATACCGGGAGACAAAAAGCCTTCTCCACATGCAGCTCTCATCTGTCTGTCGTTTGCACCTTCTATATATCCCTGATTACTATATACATGATCCCAGCTACAGGACGTTCTGCTCTCGCAAACAAGGTTCTTTCTCTGATGTACACAGTCCTAACACCATCACTGAACCCCTTAATATACAGTCTACGAAGCAAGGAAATCAGGGCTGCAGCTGGGAAACTTGTTTGCATAAGAATGAAATTATGAAACAAGAAAAATTAGAATTTATCAGATAGTAACACAATGATTTTATACCATGAACCTTATTATGTAACTCTTGTTGTAGCCAAATGTAATATTTTGATTGAGAAATAATCACTATGTAATTAAACGCGATCTGCTAAATCTAAAGATCCGGATCAGACATTATCTATTTGTCTTTTATATATTTGTGGATAATTGCAAACACATTGAAGGATTGTAAATTCTGGATCTAAACAATCATAGTGATCTCAATAGTGATATACAATGTAAAGGTATATAGGGGCCGGTAAGTCTGACATCATCACTGCCAGTCAAATAAAATGCCCAGATTCCGGCAAAACACCTGACCATTTATTCTATTTTAGTCTGTTATGAATCTTAATAGTCGGTGGAAACCATCCACGTCAGAACCACTTCTACAAAATGCGAGTGACCTACTATTATATAGTTTTAAAAATTCCAATTGGCTGCTGTATTACACTATTTGCTGTTTTCCTTCTTTTTACTTTGATTTTTATGGACTTCATGCAATTATGGGTTGAAAAAGATTTTGAGCACCCAAGTTAATTTGAACACCCCACATTTTGTTTATTCTTTGTACTGCCGTTATATATTGGGGTGACTTGACTGACGTTCACACAGGCTGTGTTATTACCGGTACATTAAGATATTAAGCTTTCTTTCTTACTTAAATTTACTAAACAAAAACTGCTTTGAACATACACAAAAAATAAAATGAAAGCGCACAGAACCCCCCGAAAAATATATTGCCCTCCAGGTACAAAATATGTCAACATATGAATAGCACACAATAAAATATTGCACTCACATTCTGCAGAGCCAGCATTACCATTCTATTTTATGGCACTTTGAAAGAGAGCTTCACACTTCATATCCTCTCCTGCTTTCAGCTTAGAAAAGAAATAGTAGATTATTCGTACTGTGGGAGTTTTCAGTAATTATTAACAGCGGTGTCTGTTTGGGGGACCTGGGGGAACAGCGGTGTCTGTTTGGGGGGACCAGGGGGAACAGTGGTGTCTGTTCTGGGGGACCTGGGGAAACTGTGGTGTCTATTCTGGGGGACCTGGGGGAACAGTGGTGTCTATTCTGGGGGACCTGGGGGAACAGTGGTGTCTATTCTGGGGGACCTGGGGGAACAGTGGTGTCTGTTCTGGGGGACCTGGGGGAACAGTGGTGTCTGTTCTGGGGGACCTGGGGGAACAGTGGTGTCTGTTTTGGGGGTCCTGAGGGAACAGTGGTGTCTGTTCTTTGGGACCTGGGGAAACAGTGGTGTCTGTTTTGGGGGACCTTGGGGAACAGTGGTGTCTGTTTTGGGGGACCTGGGGGAACAGTGATGTCAATTCTGGGGGACCTAGGGGAACAGTGGTGTCAATTCTGGGGGACCTGGGGGAACAGTGGTGTCTATGTTGGGGGACCTGGGGGAACAGTGGTGTCTATTCTGGGGGACATGGGGGAACAGTGGTGTCTGTTTTGGGGGACCTGGGGGAACAGTGGTGTCAATTCTGGGGGAACAGTGGTGTCTATTCTGGGGGAACAGTGGTGTCTATTCTGGGGGACCTAGCCTATTTAATACTTTTAGTTCTGATATAGGGAGTTGTAGTTGAGGAAAGAAGTGCCATTCCTGCAGATAAAGCAAATATATGTGACGGGATTCACTCCTCTCACACGAAGGAGGGAATACGATGGAGTCCGATGTCTGCTGAACCCCATATTTTATAACCTGCTATCCAACGCATATCAGGTGGGGGATGGGAGAGCGATTTAGCAGGTGGCCCCAGTTCATAAACTTGTGGACCCACAATATTTTAATTAAAACCCTCTTCCCACAGCTTAGGGGACAGGGGAAGCACCGTTATATAGGCAATCACTCTGCAGCCATTTAGGACAGTATCTCTCTAAATTTACAGAATGTCACATTTGGTGAGACAGCTCTGTCTATATCTCATGTAGATATTTGTTTTACCCAGTCCTGCCTCTAGGGGGCAGCACTTGTCTCCCCTGGGCAATGTCAAGGATTACAACAAACAGCTAGCACAGTAACACATGAGACATTAAGAACAAATCGATTAAATAAACCTGAGATTTCATCATTGAAGACAATATGAGACAATCGTCCCGCAGTCGCGACTCACCGTACAATCTGTATCAGTGATAACTACACAAACTGGGGGAAATCATCAAACAGTGAATAGATAAAAGTAACGTTCATCATGTCTGGACCCTGTGACAGCGAACTGCCCGGCAGAGCTTTGTGAATCTCACTGTCTGAGTCATTTAGTGAATAATAGCAATCAATAAATAACCCAATGTCTTTAATGCGTTCTAGCCGTGGGAGCCATATCAATCATGCTATCTTGCTTCTAAGTAATGGCTCCTAATTACACGCTGGGCAGGTCCAATGTCAAAATACAGCTCAGCACTAAATGACACAGTTAGACCCGGACTACCAGCAGGACACTTCCCCAGACAGGGCTGTCATACTGACATCTAAGGAAAAAAGGGAACTGGGGGCACAAACAGAACATTTCTCAGGTGTGGTGCTGCCGTAGAGACAAAAATTACATATAATACAGATTAAGGAACAGCGCACACATAAAGTACAGTTTTACATTTTATAAGGCTACTTAAAGGGTCACCCCATTGCCAAACACAAAATAAATACAAATCACTGTTTATTAGTCACCCCAAATGACAACATGCATGTATTTAATTATGTATTTTTTCATTGGGGGGGCCCTCATCTTCTAACCCCGCCCACACTTTCCGTGGCTGTCCAATCACAAACTGACCAATGCAGCTCAATGAGAAGTCTTTCCAAGGCTCTGGGTAATTGCTGCCTCTTAAGTTTAGCTCCACTGAGCTAACCAAAACAGGAAGTAAAAGGACTGGTTGATTGACAGCTGGGAGGGTGTAACCAGATTTGTTTTTAAAAGTGTCAATATCGATAGAAATCTGCAAGTTTTGCAAAATAAAATAAAAAAGACACCTTTCACACAAAGCTTTTCAGAAAGCTAAAGTGCTTTAGGGGTCTGGAGTGTCCCTTTAAAATCACCTATCTCAGCAAACATAAGGATTCAGTTCCACCATATGGCCATATTATGTTAAGCCCACCACTACTTTACAGTACCCCAATATCAGTGGGTCCGACACTAATTTCAATGTGGAAGACAAATTAAATAGTGCTAGTGCTATGAAGTGCATTTGAATAATCTGTTGTAAGAGCATTGTGCAAATATATGATGCAAAATCAAGAAAATGCAGTGTCAAAACTAAACAATTAAAGTGATAGTGCTCTGATGTATATACTCACAATGCATATTATATATCTGCTCTGTGAAAATGATAAATAAAGTGACGTTACTACCCAAAACCTCCTCAAATGTTATACTTTCCTGTGGTCACCTCCTGACATCTAGTGGCAGGAAATAATACCGTTTATAGCCTATAATTCTCTTACGATAAGATAATAAGAGAATCTCACTATGAATAGAGACATTAAATGTATTCTCATCACTGCTTGTACTTGTTTTTTGTTTAATGGTTTTATTCCCATATGTGCATATAGTGAGGGGGGAGAGTATTTGATCCCCTGCTGATTTTGAACGTTTCATAGAAAACCAAAGGCAAATATTGGGATACGGCTGAATTAATCTAAGACAAGGGGAAATAAGCAAATATAGTGTGATACAGTAAACACAATGTATGATGCGCCACATAAAATGCACTCACAAGGTGGTGACAAATACAGTGCTCATAGGGTGCCTCCCTCGAAATAGTTGGTGGGCTATTGGTCCTCCTCTCCACGAACAGCAGATGGTAATACAGGACTCCAAATGAATGAAGGTAAAATAGGATGATTTATTGTATAAAAAGGTGAACAATCACCATAAGCATAGGTATAAATATAAAAGAAAAATCGGTCCATGCGTTTTGTTCCTAGAGGAAATTCCTCAGGGACCACAATGGCATAAAAAATGTATACAATCACAAATGATATTAACGTATCCTAATACCCCCACCCAAAAAGTCCCTTTAAATCGGGATAATCCCTAAATTCATTGGTGGATCAGTTGGCGTCTTTCATCATACTAGAATTCCATTGGTGAAGTTAGAGAACCTCCATATGTGTCCGTGGTTCGTATAAGTCCATCCTGATTGAAGTTGGCGTGCTGATTTTACCGGAACCGGAAGTGAATATGAT